TTGATTCATCATTTGTTGGTTCATCATTTATTGATTCATCATTTGTTGGTTCATCATTTATTGATTCATCATTTGTTGATTCATCATTTGCTGGTTCATCATTTTTTGTCATAATTTGTTCTTTCTCTGACTCGAACTCAGTTTTATTTTCATCATTTGTCTCGATTGAAGACTTATCGACAACATAATCATCAGATTCATCTTTGTTTGTATCAATATTCTTGTTGTCAAAATTATCTGTTGTGGCTTTATTTGTTTCTGTTTTCTCATCGTGCATTTTCTCTGAATCTTCAGTTTCTCTTTTTTCTATTTTGGGTTTTTTACCTTCGATATTTTTCATTTCATTCGTGTTTCCACTAACCACTGTTAAGTCAATAATTTGGGCACCTATACCCTTCAAAAATTCAAGATTGTCCAAAGAAATTTCTGTTGATGGATTATAGTTATTTAATTTATCTATCAATTCTGAGCCTTCATTGAGAACAATAGCTTTCACATCGGTAATTTCATCCTTTTTCAAGTCACCCAAAACTTTATCAAGAATGTTCTTTCCAAAGTCTTGGATTGAAGCATCATTCAAATCGTCAAGAGGAAAATTAAATTCTGAATTGATCACAAGATTCAGTGGTTGATTGGATTTTTTCTCAACATGGATATCCTTATTTTCTTTCGATTCATTTTCGTTAGGCTGACTTACTTGAGGCTCTGATTCAGTTTGTTGTTTGTTTGTTTCCTTTTCAATGCTAATTTCTATTTCATTATCTTCACTAATTGCCTCTTTGTTTTCATGATTTTGATTTGAATTTAAATTGACATCTTTATCTGATTTATCTCCGCTAAAAAGTATAGTTTCGCCTTTTGAATCATGTGAAATCACTTTTAGATTTGATATATCTGAATTTTCATCATTCGCTGAAAAAACTTTTGCTAATTGTTGGATTTTCTGTAACAAATCAAATGATAAGCCAGATAGTTGTGGATTATCGTTTGAATCTGATCCCAAATTACCATCATGTGATTGTTCGTCGTTGTCTAAAGAACTGTAATCTTTATCAACAAAAAATTGAATCCATTCTCTTAATGAATCAATTGTTAATATGGAATTGAAAATATGAGGTACTCTATTATTAGGCTCATAAATTACAAATGTTGGAAAATTATCTGCGGAAGGCAAATAAACCTGGTAATAGGTATATTTCATTCTATAGAATTTAATTTTTTCATTAGGGAAGTCTTTGGAAACGCTGTTAAACGCAATTTTTGCTTCTGGCGCAGAAAACGATTGTTTATTTTCAATGAAAACTAGAACAGGAACTCTTCTATCAGGAACATAACTTGGTAGATTTGCTGGCGAAAGAACTGGAGCGTAAAGATTCAAATTAGGAGATGCTTTTTTCATGTCCATTTTTATCGATGTTACTTCGCTGATACTTTTGTAGACGAAAAAACGTAAAAGTTCATGGCTATAAACATCCATATCTTGGAAAACTTCACATTTATTGACATATCGAGAATTTTTCTTGAAAAAAACAAAAGAAATTGGAATTTGAGTTAATGAACACATTTTCATGATATCTGTTGAATTTTCCCATGTGGAAATTTCTGAGTCAACAATATGGCCGAAATGATTATTAACTTCATTAACAGATGCTTGAGCTTGATCTGTGAGATTATCAGTAATTGCTACAAATTGAAAAGTGTGAGGGGAAAATAATTTACTTTTCTGACTATGCTCATTAGTTTGAGTTTTCAGCTTTTTACAATTCCTAATAAAGTGGATCATTGAAATTCTATTGTCATATTCAAGTGTTCCATTATTTTTATTGTCAAAAAAACGAAGTGAAAAATTATCAGATTTAATAAATCCAAATCGTACTTTTGTTTTACGGTAGTAAAATGCAATATCCTCAAATTCTGAAAGTGTTTCATTATTTGACAGTAGAAAAAGTTGGTTTGAGCTATTTTTAAATTCTTCGATATTTGAGTCGATTAAATATTCCACCCAGGACAAAAAAGCATCATTTATTTCTGATGCTAAGTCTATAATTGTATTATTTCCTTTGTAAACTTCGAGAAATTGATCGTCTCGGGTGATGACATAATTTGGTAATTGAGGAGAAAGGCTTTCTTTATCGGCAAGATTGTATTTCGAATATGATGTCATACTGATTGGCAAGATTTCATTGACCAATGACAGAAGGATCGAAAAAAATGTAGAATTATATGAATTCCTGCCATCTGGTGATACTAGCAATATTCCAATCGTCTTGTTAAGTGGCACTTGTGATAAGGGAACTGCGGGAAAGGCGGAATAAATAAAAACCCAAAAAAACATTTTTAAAAAGATTTTTGGTCGGATAAATATCAGAAAAATTTTGGAAGTGAATTGAATGGATTATCATTTCAAGACAAATTTTACAGAAGAAGTGTTCATTTTAATTATTCACAAGAATCTATCTGAATTAAATTCGGTGATTTTGGTTGTTCACTTCAAAAACTCATTTATTTGTATCAAACACTTTTCACATGTTACGTGTTATTCGCAGTGTGTGTTACACATATCATTTAACAATTGTTCTTTCTAAAAGATTCTTGGGGTAAAACTAGCAAAAAAAGTTGCAGAGGACTTTTTCACTGTAATGTTGAATACCAGTATTATAGAATAGAGAAGAATAAAGTAGAGAAGAAAAGAATAGAGAAGAATAGAATAGAG